AAAAATTGAGTTGGCCAATGCACACTCACTTATGCTGAAGTTATCTTACCCAATTTAATCCTTCACTGAATTGTCCTTCGATTATTTCAATGGAACATTAATTCCTAAGGAAACTGCTCGGGTATTTAAAATGGGTCTTTTCCTCTTTTATTTCAAGTTGTGTTTCTTTTGTTGTGTTGAAAGCTTATGGCTTTTGTTCGAGTTTGGCTAAGTACCATTTGGGTATGGACCTGTGTTGGGTACCTTTGTCAATTTTTGGCTAAAAAGGGGGAGATGGGTTGTGTTTCTATCCTAGTTATGTGTTGCTTTTTGCAACACATAACTGATCTCTTGTTAGGGTCTAAGTATGTTCTTGCAGTTGTTTTGCAAATGTTGGATATGATGCTCTAACATCCTGTTTATGACTTAGTTCCTTTCATTCTGAGTCTTCTTTTTGTGTCTTATAATCTGAGTTATGAACACAATTGTATCTTGTGTTCTGAGTTATTTGGAACTGGAGTCTGGTCCTCTAAGTCCTGATTTGAATAATGGAGGATGGTAAATTGGAACTGGTTTTGAGGGGGAGTATCTTGCATCTTCTTCCTCGTGTATACCAGGGTTCAGGATACACGTCGCACAATAGGTGGTGTATGCTGTACAATAAGAATGAAAGCTTCTAAGAGGTGGATTATTTTCTGCTAGACTCGTTATAGGATGGCTGAAATGACTTCAAGACTTTCTACTCTTCTTCTCTTTATTTCTTGGGTTTATTGTGTAAAAAGAGTTTTAGCCAAAAAAAAATTAAAAGGGGGAGATTGAAGACTCTAAGATTTGACCAAATTTTGGTAAAACATGATGTTGCACAAGATGTTATAACATGAAGAAATCTGTAAAGAACAACATGTTAGACAAGATGTCCAATCTTGAGGACTTGACATCTTGGTCTGATACAACAGGTTTGTTGTAGACCTATTCTGAGTTTTAAGGGCAATCAAAACGTGGATCAATGAAAGATTGGACAAAGACTTCGAAGCCCATGAACTGCTGAAGATTATAAAAGGAAGACCAAGACCTAGAGCAAAGGGGGATTCCTTGCTAAGACTTTTGTATAGTAAAATAAGGCTTTAGGATTTTGAGAGTCGTGTGACTTTCTTGTATTGTAAGTCACCCTTTGTATCAGGTTTGATACATTATGGTAGACATAGTGCTACATATTCATAAACATGCAGGTAATGAATTGTATATTGTTCTTGGATGAAGCTATTAAGCAAATCCAAGCATTTTTGTTAATCAATAGTCTTGACTGAATATTGTATTGAGAGGGGTGTCCTTCAATTGAACAATTTGATGCAGTTTCCAGAGGTTGTGACTGTTAGATATCACTGAGGTGATTTAGGAATTAAGATGGGTTTCTCTTATCTAGATGGTGATTTCTAGGTAGAAGTTGCACTGGGTAGGGATTAAGTGAGGAGTTGTAAACTGGAGATTGTTTAACTCTGAATTAATACTACTGATAATGAATTCATTCCTGGCTTGGTAGCCCCCGAATGTAGGTGTTGTTGTACACCGAATTAGGTCATCATATCTTGACGTTATTTATCATTCTGTTATGAATATTCCAGTTTTGTCTCTTGCTTTAAAATACATGTCTTAACAGATGTTGAAACATCTGTCATTACACTATTATGATTTTGACATATCTGTTTGAAACATCTGTCATTACACTATTATGCAGAAATCAATGTCTCGACATCTCTTGCGACATCTGAGATCTGTATACCAGAATTTCAACAATTGTTCCTCTTATGCTTTTGGGGCACCCGTTGCTCCCGCAATCTCGTAGAACTTTGTTATATGAATGGGTCTTCATGATCTAGCCCGATAAAGGGATTTGAATATAAGTTGAAGAATTCTTGTTTTCATCTACGAATGTCTTCCATTATTTGCATTGCGAGCAAACTGAGTATTTTGTCGCTGACTACTAGTCCATAGACATCTGTTAGAAGGTGGATGTGGAAGTGGATCTGCCATAATTAGTGTAACAATGGGAATAGTTGGTGGATTACTTGTAGAAGTTCCTTCGTGCTCTCTTCTTTCCTTAGCTAACTGTCTTTGTCTTCTGGTCTCGCTATTAAGTATCCGCACAATTCTATCAATCTCAGGATCAAATAGAAGTTGGTATACGGGTACACTTCCTCACGTAAACAAATATCTGTCACACTAACCAAACAAATTAAGAAGCACAAGGAATATTAATTGAGATAAGATATAGCAATACAAAACAGGATAAACTATTGCAATGCTTACAATATCAATCAACAATCCCCGACAACGGTGCCATTTTGTTGAAGGCATATTAGGTGGGTAAAAATTTTATCGTCTTCACAAGGATTATTGTGATATTACCGACGTTCTACAATTTATATTGTCTTAAGTGAGGATTTTTAAAAGAGTTTTGTTTGGTATCATAAATTTCACAAGAGTTTTTTAGCAAAGAGTAAAATGTAAAAAATGTTTGTTTAGAAAACATGTCAGGTTTCGTTAACCCTTTTCATACATATCCTAATAATCAAGTATGTGAACTTGGTTATGATCATTATAATCATGTATCCTTGCAATACCGTTTATCTCTAAAGCGATTTCGTGAATATTATCGTATTAATTACTAGATGATGTCTCATGCTAACAATCAAAACAATAATCTTGAAGCTTGATATAAAGTGAATATTAACTCACAAATTTATGTCTAGAGTTTGTTTATTGATAGATGAATAACTTAGGTCATGGTTTGAAAAATACATTTCAATAGTGATTCAAATCAAATATATACCATTAAAAGCAAAGATATTCATCATATATTGATCATCAACTTTGTTCACATACAAAAGATTAAAAGAAATACATATTAACAAGGTTAACTACCTCTAATCTTAACACAAAAGAGAGTTTAGCTACCCATCACCATGGTAGCTTGAGCAACAAGTAAGAAAGAAAGCTTTACTAGCATCAAAGTCGAAAGATCGTAGGTTAATGCTCCAAAACTTTGATTTTTACTTCTTTTGAAGTTTTTTTGCTTCTTGACCTAAAATATCTTCTAAAAATATGAAAAGTGGGATTGTGTTCTAAAATATCTATAAAGTTGCCTTTTATACAAGTGCATACAAGTGACACTGCGCTAAGCCCATGGAGAGCTTGCTTAGCGCGATCAATAAAGTATCTGGCAAAATCCCAGAAAGCGCGCTTAGCGCGGTGGAGCGGGCTAAGCGCGGTTTGACACCCTTAGCTATTGTCTTTGTCTAAAAACCGTGCTGCAAACCGAACTAAGCGCGAAACCGCGTTGCAGATCAGGCTAAGCGCGAGCTGGCATGCAAAATTCAACAAGTTCTCTACCACATTTGCTTTTCTTTCTCCATAGACTCCAAGCATCCATTCAAGTGATAAAACCTACAAAAATTCAACAATTTGATCATCCAACAAGCTATTTACAAGAATACGCTTGAATTTACTTATTTACACTAAAACTATGATTTTATTACTACTTCACCATGAAATCAATTGAAAAAGGCCACAAAACACTATCAATTTTATACATATTTTGACCCTTAACAGATGTCAAGAATCTCCATTTCCATTGAGCTGGATGAACCGGAATGATTAACACTTCAACGCCCAAGTTAGTGAGGTAATAATAGAGTAACTTGCAAAAGTATGAATGAGATAATACCCGTTATGGCACGTGACAGAGTTTATACACGATAAATAGTTAAAACCGTTTCCACTTGATCTGATGTGCATCGCAGGGAGTTGTCTAATCAGATTCAACGATGGTTATTCTCTTGATAATTTAGATTAAACGCTAGACTCTTTTAATCAGATTTCATATATTCAATGGTATTTTGTAATGATACCCTTGTCATTGAGTCTGCTCTATGTGTCTTTGGTCGACCTAAAATAAATATGAATATTTATTATTAAACTCGTTATTAATAATAAAAACAATCAAAAACTTTTTAAAAATTAGAAAAATTAGAGTGGAATGAAAAATGATTTTGCAAATAAAAATTCAAAGACTAAAGCATAAAATAATAAAAACAAGGAGAAAATATAATAAAAGCAGTCAAACTTCTGAAAATAATTACAAAAACTAGTGTTGAATGAAAAATGATTTTGCAAATAAAAAATCAAAGAATAAAACATAAAATAATCAAAACAAGGAGAGATAACGATAACGCCATTCAATATACACTGTCATTTCTTTTTTGACCAGAATACTACCATATATATATTTGGTCAAATAATACTACCACATTTATATCATACATAAATGAATAACATAAATTCTATATTAAGTTTTTATTTTGACTGGAATATATAATATCTATAGTATAATATTAAAACACTATAAAATATTTCATAGAAAACATATATAAAATAGTAGTCAAACAAGTTGAGTATATAAGTTTTGGTCAAATTAAAAGTGAAATGAATAGAATTAATTCTAAAAATAGAATAAATAGTCCTTTTAATTTTTATGTTTAAAACAATGTTAGTAGTATAAATTACTACAAGCAGATGCAAAGCTCTGAGATAAAACAGTTCAGCTGATACCAATTGTGCAAGTAAGAACATCTTTCAGAGGTGTAAGTTTATATCTACTGCATTCTGATAGTTTGAATATGTGATATTTCATTTATTTATTTTTAAACTGTAAATTTTAGCTTTAAGTTTTTTTTCTCACAAAAGTGGCACACGTGTAGTGAGGCGTGTTTAAGCGTGTGGGTTCTGTTGTGGGCTTAGGTGCATGACGTTAGAGTGATTCTCATTTCATTTCCCATCGCATCGTTCTTTCTCTTTCTCTTTCTCTTCTCTGATCTACCTCACTTCCCTTTCTTTGACCAAAACCCCATCCACCACCTCCAACGTCCTCGTCAATACTGTGAATTTCACTTCCAAACTTTCTTTCTTCCTCGCCGTTTTGTTCCCCCTCACTGTCGTTTTGTATCTCTACCTAGGTTTCGAAAATGAAGTCCTCGCTTAACAAGTTGAAGAGAATTGCACTTCACAAAAGCGTTGCGAAGGAGAAGAAGGAGTTTCAACCTTCGGTGAAGTTCGACGAGCTTGCTCATGCTGCTAAGGTCCTTCTGTTGTTACTCTCTCTCTTAAAACTGTTGATGTTACTATTTGTGACTGAATAATCGATTTAGCTTAATTTTTTTGCTTTATGTTTATGATTGAAATTAGTGTTTTAATTTGGGGATTTGATTTTCGTTACTGTTTAGTTATTATGTGTGTTTTGATCTAGAATTCCTCAAATCATGCTTCGCGGAAACTTCATATTTTGTTTATTTAATTTTGTTTTGATTTATGTGCTGTGTGGAAAAAATGATTGAAATGGGAGGGTTTTTGTTCTAGAGTTGAATGCGTGGCGTAATTTGTTTGGGATGGGAAATTGGTGCTCTAAGTGCTGGTTTTGTACTTTGTTATGCTTTCATGCTCAATTAATGATCTAATTGTTGTAGTTAGAGAGTTACAATGTGGAAATTTGAGTGTCTTGATGGGAAATTGATGAGAAATTATATGATAAATCTTGTGTTCGAATTGTTCTATCTGATTTATCAATTTTAGTTGCATTATGTTATGGGTTCCGTTTTCCATTTTGCAGTACATGCAAGAGATGAGAGATTGCTATGATAGCCTTCTTGCTGCAGCAGCTGCAACGGAAAACAGTGCTTATGGTATGATTCCCTCTTTGACTTTTGTTGATCGCTCATCATGTTCCCTTTTTCCTCACATATGACCTTGTAAATATTTAGGAACTGGATCTTTATTTTCTCTCTTTTTTTTTCTTTCTCATGTATGTTTCTAAATTTGTAAGTCACAGATTCGAGATATTTGGTTGTTTTCACATTCAGCGGGTGTTCCAAACAGATGTCCATATGGTAGTGACAATTTTTTTTTTAGTATTCATTTGATTCAAAATATGCACGCCATTAGATGTGCACTATATATAATACCTTCCAATTACTATAGTCCATGACTAGCACAGCCATCTGCGCTATTGACACAGATGCACTATATATAATGTCTCCAACAGTTTAATCTACATATATCCATTTCCAATTTCCATAGTCCATGACCAAACATGGTTTTCTGCATTACTGCCAAAGGTCCGGCATTTCTTTACATATTTGTCAAACACTCCATGATGCTTAACTTGTAATTTGTAATCCTGCTGCTGTGCCCATGCTTTGTATTCTTATTGAATTGTATGTTGCGACTTCCTTTGAAATGTAGTTGGATAGTAGAATGAATGCACTTGAAAATGTCAATATCAATATCTTTAGTCTCTGCGGTATCCTTTTTCCCACTGTCACCTATTATGTTTACTTATCCCTTAGACAAACATTTACAGCTTGATTATTAGTTCATTCTATTGTCATGTTTATGCACATATGATAGTTTAGTCAAAATTGCAACTTTTTGTGTGTGATTGCACGATCCTATGATTTACGGTAACAACAAATCTTGATTATTAGTTCATTCTATTGTCATGTTTATGCACATATGACAGTTTAGTCAAAATTGCAAGTTTTTGTGTGTGAGTGCACGATCCTATGATTTACGGTTGCCTCTCCAAGTGGGATTGCAGACAAAATCACAACTTTGTGCGAGTGCGTGACACTGCTGATCATGCTTGTGAGATTGTGGATTGTGGATTTTGAGTGTCTTGAAGATGAGGATTTTTGGGACCTAATTGGGATAAACTTTAGCGTTCCCATCATGCCCATTTTTCCAATTTTGGGCACTCCTGTATGCCTTTCAACCTCTCTGCAGCCTGTCAGAACTCCCTTTCTTCTTTCTTTCAAGATCTATGACCTCTTTAGTCGCGCCTCGGCCTCCTCCCTTCTCTTCTCACTTTAATTGAGAGCTTCTGTAATATTGAAATGCAGAATCTAATTTCACCTTATATGGGAAGCTGTTGTCTAAAATACTTTTAGTTATTGTTAAATAATTTAATATTTATTTTTTAGAAGTGCTTGAAAAGTTTATCTGAACTGGCTCTTAATGTTGTTAATAGTATTTTTCTTTGCTTTTTTCCTGATCAGTTATTGCCTTGAGAATAAAAGTCTTAATGTATCTTTATTGTGATACATGTTCCAGAATTTTCGGAGTCACTGCAAGAGATGGGTACTTGTCTATTGGAGAAAACTGCCTTAAATAATGATGAAGAGAGTGGTGAGTGGGTAAATCTTTCGTCACTTCCATATCTAAATTACCTAGCTTTTATGCTAGTTGATTCAAATCATGTTTAGTTGTTGCTACAGTTGCTATGAACTGTATGCAGGTAAAGTTTTGGGGATGCTTGGAAATGTGCAGCTTGAGCTTCAAAAACTTGTTGATAGCTATGTAAGTTTTGTTGGATGCAACCTTTTGATTTTCTTCTTGAAGTGCAGTTCATTTACAAAAGCTTTAATGATGACTCTATCCCTTCTGTTCGCCAGCGTTCTCATGTAGCATTGACAATAACCAGACCATCGGAGTCTCTTCTTAATGAACTAAGAACTGTCGAGGTATGTTTATGTCCTTTTCTTTTTATCAGATTTGTTTATTTGAAGCACACCCAATGCTTAATGCATATATGTATTTAAAGCATATATGCATTAAGTGCTGGAGTCTAAAACTCAAATCTCTCAACGTCTTTGATGGAATGTTGGGCAAACCTCTTGAATTGATGATATTGTTCAGTGTGTCTGTTGCGTTAAGCTAAAAGTCCAAAAAAACAGTAGGAGAAGAAACGGGAATCAAAATGAATGGACTGAAAACTCAGATAGGCCCTTTTGGAACTTTTCATTGAATTCAGCAAACAACAAAAAAAACAGATTTCAAATCCATGGACTTTTGGCTTAAAGCAACAGACACACTGAACAATATCATCAATTCAAGAGGTTTGCCCAACATTCCAAAGACGTTGAGAGATTTGAGTTTTAGACTCCAGCATGCTGAAATAAATTAATTATGGCATTCAATCATTAAAGAACGACATATATTCAGCTAACATAAGAAATTGTATCGGGGCTCATTGTAATGCATGGAATTTATAAATGCCTCAGGGGGAAAATGTTAATAGAGACTGGTCCTTTTACTTTATCAGTATGTTATATTGTTGGTGACATATTCTGGTTGTGGGAAATTGATTGTTGGTGACATATTTGTTGTCCCCATATCTATTTCAATTCCCCCACTTATTTGAGATCCTTTGTGGGAAATTGATTGATACCACTAGTGTCATATATTACATGCATCAATTAGTTAGTAGTGTGTGGATGATTTGTTATGCTTTTCATGCATCCACTGTCAATGTGTGTGTGCAAGGGACTTGCGGGTTGATATTTACAATAGTTGTGGAGATTGAATTGGCGGAACTAAGCAAGGTGTAGGAGCAAAATTGCAGAACTTAAAAAAATGGTGAGAAAAGAGGACAGTGGCAAGTAGTAGTGAGGAGCACTTAGACTGTTGCAATATATTAAGTTGAGCATATCCTGGAAGACAGATCTAAATATTGAACTACTTACCCAACAAATGAAAACCTTTGATATTCTCTAATTTTAAAATGGTGAAAAAAGTGGACAGTGGCAAGTAGCTGAGAGTGGCACTTAGACTCTTACAAGATATTAAGTTGAGCATACCCTGGAAGGCAGATCTAAATATTGAACTACTTACCCAACTAATGAAGAACCTTTGATATCTGTATAAGCTTGGTTTTCCAAACATAAAAAGGTTGTCTTTACAAGATGTAGCGCATACCCAGGAAGATAGATCTAAACATTGAACTATTTACCCAACAAATAAACAACCTTTGATATTCTCTAATCTTAAGCTTGGTTTTGCAAACATAATAAAGTTGTGCTAACAATCTTAAGTTTGAGACATGAAAAACTATGTCCTCTTTGATGCTTTTTGGAACTATATATGTTGCCTTGCCTAGGACAGTGGTAAATAAATTTGGCATTGTATTGAGTTTGCTGCTTCATAATGCTGGGTTTTCAAGAGTTAATTCTTGACTACATCTCATTTTCTTTCTATTCTTCATGCAGGACATGAAGCGTCAGTGTGATGAAAAAAGGTATACTTATAAAAGCGTTATTAGTTTTCTGTGCCTCATCCTGTGAATATTTCCTGAATCTGCTGTATTGCATGCAGAGATGTTTATGAATACATGATTGCCCAACAGAAAGAGAAAGGGAAGTCAAAAAGTGGTAAGGGTGAAAGTATCACTGTACAGCATTTGCAAGCTGCTCACGATGAATACGAAGAGGAAGCAACACTCTGTGCTTTTCGGTTAAAATCCCTGAAACAAGGCCAGTCACGAAGTCTACTAACACAAGCTGCTCGTCACCATGCTGCTCAGGTTTTGTTAAACTTTCTATCTTTCTCATTCAAATCTTTAAAATCCTTTCTCAGCCTAGTCTTGATCTATCTCTTTTCATCTTTTTTATTTTTTTATTTTTTATTTTTTACTTTGAATATAGTTGAATTTCTTTCGGAAGGGACTTAAGTCACTGGAGGCTGTTGAGCCACATGTTATGATGGTTGCCGAACTGCAGCACATTGATTACCAATTCAGTGGCCTTGAAGATGATGATGGTAAGGGTAGTTTTGAAGATGATGGGAATGAGTATGCGTACGAGGCTACTGAAGGCGGCGAGTTGAGTTTTAACTACAGATCAAACAAGGATGTCCCCACATCGCCAAACTCAGCAGAGGTAGAAATTCGATATTACTCATAATTGTATGATTTTTAACGCCTAGGTGCATATTAAATCTGTTTCATGCTTATTGCTTACCTTTTTACTAAGAATATCATAGAAGCATTTCACTGTGTTTATTTTGGACCCGTTTACATCTATAGATGCTATTTTACTCCAACACAAAAACATACTCTTAGAATTTGGGTTGGGCCTAACTCATCCCTACAAAACCGGCTTGTAAGGTGAGGATTGCCCCCACTTATAAACACATGGTGCAGACCATAGATTCTCCAATGTGGGACTCTTAACACATTATCACCTTTTCTTTCTTCAAAATTTGAGTTATTGATTTACCAACACCAAAAACTTACTCTCACTTTTTCTTTCTTCAAAATCTGAGTTATTGTTTCACCTTGATATGATCATTGTTTATGTATTAGCAGGTGGAAGAATCAGGCCGTTCAAATGTTCGAGCTTCAACCACGGAAACCGTAGAGGTATTCTTTACAAGTTTTGATTATCCAATTTGAAACTCCCATTTAAATAATAAGTGCTAAACTAAAATTAAGATAAATAAGCTCCTCAATTTGCATAGGCCTACAACATTTCAAAACAAAATCTCAATATTTAGGACAAGTACTGAGAGAATGATTTGACACCTAATTTATGGATATTGGTCTAGCATTATGACATTGACTATGACTATGTTGCTCACTTCTTATTGTTGTCTTGGTCTAGCTGGTCATTGTCATCCACTGAAAAAGTTTCTCTAGTTTGACTTGGGTCATCCTCTAATACTTTTTTTTAATCAAATTGCCTTATGACAGACAAGTTTAGACAAGTACAACCATGGAGATTTTAGACTCTCAAATAGAGATCCACCAAGAGTCAGCAGCTATTCAGCTCCAATATTTGCGGAAAAGAAATTTGACCCAGCTGAAAAAGTCAGACAACTGTTGTCATCATCTGCAGCTGTAGCAAAGCCTAATGCTTACGTACTTCCTACACCTGTTGAAATCAAAGAAACAAAAACCAATTCTGCACCCCGCTTAAGTGCAAGTGGATCATCACATGATTTGTGGCATTCATCCCCTTTGGATGAAAAAAAGAATGTGAAAGATTTTGTTGATGGAAAATTGTCAGAACCAGCTATTGCTAGAGCTCACTCTGTTCTGAAAGAAAGCAACAGTGATACTACATCTGCCCAGTTACCACGCCCGTCTATTGATAAAATAAAAAGACATGCCTTTTCAGGTCCATTGACTAATCCATTGTCTGTAAAACCTGTCTCTGGGGGTTTCCCACGTTTGCCAACACCTCAGCCTTCCTCTCCCAAAGCATCTCCCGGCGCTTCTCCTCCCCCTGTTTCTTCACCTAGGATAAGTGAGCTACACGAGCTTCCCAGACCTCCTGGTAATCAAACCAGCAAGGCAACAAGATCTTCTAGAGTAGGTCACTCTGCTCCCTTAGGATTAAGGAATCCAGAACATCCTGCAGCTAATAAATATACTCCAGCTGTATCAACTTCAGCATCTCCACTTCCAACTCCACCCATCATTGTCTCTCGGAGTTTTTCTATACCCTCTAGTAGTCAGAGAGCTGTGGTATTAAATGTTACCAATAAGTATTTGCACACTCACCAAATGCCAGAAAAGGTTGAAGAAGCTGCATCCCATCCACTAACACCTTTATCCCAGAGAGCATCAACTCTATCTGACCTTGCTTCTCACTCTAGTGAAATCAAAGGTAAAGTACTATTTATTTATTTATTTTGTTAAATTTGTATAAACATGGGACTACTTTTCAGAATTTAGCTACTTGTCTTCATATATATATCAAGTACCAGAATCAACATATCAAGTAATGCATTGGAGTAAGGATCCAAGTTGAATATCATGATTTTATTGCCATTCTCAGGAAGTGCTTACTTTTGAATACCATGGTGCTGGATGTTGTTTTCATTTGTCTCCTCTTCTATAAATCCATGAACTTGTGAACTGTTTTAAATTAGGTTGTAGATGTTGTCGATTTTCATATAGATAAGGTTACTTTATGATTGCTCCTTCATTTTTGAGAAATTTACATAGTTGAGAAACAAGGTTTCCATAAGTGTTGCTTTGACAATCATGTGATTTAGCCAGCATCAATATTTTTCATAATCAGCCGCATCCTGTTTTACTTTGTCATCTTCATGTTGGTGGGAAATGTGAGTATGAGGTTTTTCAGTGGATGCAGGTGGGAGCTAAATCTCATACAGGATGCTGGGTTAAGGCGAATGATTTTAAGTATTTTTGTTCTATGCTCGTCCAAGCTAAATCACTGGCATGGAAGTCTCTACGGTTTTGCCCAACAAAAGGTTCTGGGGATGGTATATGTAAATATGTGATGTATTGTTTAGTTTCTCATCTCAATTTGTATCTATTATTTTTACTATAATAACTAGTGTTGATGGGAACTAAACTCTACATGGTTATGTCTTTATGATGTGCTGTGTATATATTTCGGATGATTTTTTATTTTTATTTTTTTCACTTCCCCAAGTAGAACCAACTTTAATCTCTTCAATTTTGAGGATGAAAATAATTCTAGAAACAGATACCCCTCTCCCCTCTCGAATTCCTTGTTTCTCTACGATATCGAGAATTTTCACATTGATGAACTCATTAGCCCTTGATACGGATACTAATGTATTTTTATTAGAGAAACGCCTATCAGTGAAAAGTTGTTTATGCAAACTCTATCCATTTCCCAGTTCTCGCCTTTTTCTAACTGCACTGTTTATTTGATAAATGAGTCCTAATTTTAAAAAAGTGAATTCCACTACTAGGTTTCACCTATTTATTACTTGTTTCTATTGCCCACAAATGGATACCAAATGAAGGGTAGATGAATGAGGTAAAATCATACTCCTCCACAAATGTATAGTGGAAGGTTGACACTTTCAAAGTTAGTTCAGATCTATGACGTGATCAATGCATATATTTTTGCTAAGGGATGATCTTCAAATTTATATTTATGCTATATATGTCTAACGCTGTAGGTAAGGGTGAAAATTGGTCATTCCAATTAAAAGAGGTTTATGGTCTATTCTGCAGTCATGCAATACTATATTTAAAATCGACAAGTTTCCTATCCTATGTTAGGTTTAATTCGTGCCATACTTTGTTTAAAATTGACAAGGTTAAAGCTTTTTAGAAGGCTGCTTATTTAGCCCAAAAAGCAAGAATATGTCACTAAATTTTTTTAGACCCATCCTGTATATTTGTTAAATTACAATTACATGACTTGTATACTTAACAAAAAAAATTGAAGTTCTGTTAAATTTATTATAGTGATACTGTCATTTTTTTATAGAAAAAATTGATATTGTTTTTATTTATGTCAAAACTGTTATAATTATTATTAATCATTGACATAGTAGTTAGAGTTTAATGAGCATATGCAATCCTTGTATTATTATCGTATGGTAAAATAGGAGTTGAGATTATCTCTATTTAAAAGACATTTCTATTTGAGATAGTCCTTCGAATATAACACTATTGTATTCATATATCTTTTAAAATGGAAATATCTATTAAATAAAGAGGATTCTAATCCATAAAATCGTAGTAAATTAAATTTTCATTGGCTCTATTGCAAGGTTATTAAACTTTTCTTTCGGATGTACTTGCTCTATCTTATTATAGCAAACCATGGCCAGCAATAATAGAATACACCGAAAGTTTGAAACATGCGAAGAGAAAAAAATAAATGCAAAGAGCAGAAGAAAAGTACAGTCCAATTCAAACACGCATTATAGTCCAATTCAGTTAACAAAGCCGGGATATTGTCTCTCATACATCGTTTATATGGCAATTTGGGTCAGATTAGTTTCTTCCTTACTTTTTTTAATTATAACATTTAAAGAACAGTGTCAATATCTTAATAGCCAGTCAAAAAGAAACAAATTCAAACACTTGAATACATTTTTAAAATATGAATTTCAAATTTTAAAAACAAAACCTACCTTTTCCAATAAACCCATTTAAAAAATATTTAAAAACTTAAAAAAATAAAAGCCTGCAGAAGGTATCAATGAAAAGAAAAGATAACAATGAAAGAATAGACAAAATGTACTATTACTATACACGACGGTGAGTGACAGAGAGATAAGGGGAAAAAAAGCTTGTTTAGATTATTTAGTTACTGTATTAGTATTAAATTTGTAATTAGTGTTTTTAATGACATAATTACATGAAAAACATTGATGGCAAAGCAAGTGGGTGTGTGTGCGGTGGGAATGATGAGGCTAATTTTTTTTGGTATTATATTTACAGGATTGCTATGTTGACACCCATCTTTACACCCTACACCTCAATTACTGTTCACAAATACTTGAACAAATTCCCCAGAACATGGTTAATAGTGTGTATTTTATTGGTTAATGAAGTAGTGAAAGTGGTTAATAAATTATAGGTAAAATAATTGGTTAATAATGTAGATTTTTGTGGTTAATGCAACTGTGAAGTTGGTTAATGCGCAATCTTATATTTGTGTTATAAAATAAATTTTAAAAATAAAACTTTTTAAAAAAAAAATTAATATTTTAAAAAAATATATTATTTTAATAAAAAAAACACTGTTCACCGTATAAATACGGTGAATAGTGCATACGGTGTAAGTATTGGGTGTAGGAAATGGTGTAGGAATAGCATTTTTCTTATATTTATAAACTTAAACATTGGACAGATGTTAATGTTATTGTGGGCACACAGATACACACACATGCCTCATTCTTCAACTTCACATTCACACCCCAATTCCATTTCCATCACCTAATAATCCACCACCCCTTATCTCTCACCTTCTGCAATTCCAACAACCCAACCGAAGAAAATTGTTTTTTCGAATACCCTTTTGCTTAATTTTTTGATCGGAAGGTCGAATTGCAGAAGGGTTATTTATATGATTTATCTCCTGGTTTCTTCTTTTCTTCGTTGGTGCGTTTTCTGAGTTTTTTTTTTGGTTGGTTTACTCGATCATCTGGAATTGTTTTGGACTTGGTTTGAAATTTTTTTGGGTTTAAAATTAAGTTTTTGTTGCTCTGATTGGGGTTTTAAGAATATTAAGAATAACAAATAAAATAAATAACTCCGTTGCTTGTTGTAGATGAAAACTCAAGAGCTTGAGGGGTTTTCGTTTTCTTATGTTCAACGTTTTCCTTTATTTCTTCATGTTGGTTGTTTCAAAAGAAGCCTTTTTATTTTAAACTTTCCTTTTTCTATTTGCTTGATGTATGTTATTTTCATTGCTCTACATTTTCTTCCATCTGATTGTTGATTGCTTTGAATTTGGTTTCGTACTATGATCTGTGAAGTGTTGAATTTGAGATGATTGTGAACTCGGATGACTGATGTATTTATTTATCTGTTCTTGCATTTGTAGGCAATGAATTGGTATCCGCTATGGATTGTTTGGGATTCATCTGCTGCAAGTATGGAGATCGAGAGATTTGCTCCGTATGCAGTTCTTGGATATATAACATTATGTCTCTGATGACATATTCTGTATGCCATGCAAAATATATGGTGGTTGCGATGTCTGAAACTCGGATTCCTCTGATATTTGTGTAGCAATGTATGAGATTCTTAGATGGTTTAGAATTACTTGATTTGTATGATAGCGTTCCAGTTGTAGTTTTTAATAGGTAGCGTAAGTAGTTGAATTCTTAAACTTGTAAGCGTATAGGTAGATTGTAGTTTTTAGTTGTATGGTAAAGGGGAAGATGGTGAAATGAACATGTAAGATCTTGCCGAGGGATTGCATTGCATTGATAGTTTCGAGTAAGTTTTTTTATTTTTTTAGCAGTAGATAAGTTTGGTATTTAGTGACTTAGATATTAAGGATGGGTTTGCCACAAATAATACCCCAAAGTGAAGCTGCTGAAAAGAATGAACATTTTGGGGTGGTTTCAACTGGCTCGCCTCAGTTTTCGGACGCAAGCCCCTCTGCTATAAGCAGCATGAGTAATGTTAACACTCATGGGTATGCTGCATGCACCGTTGGATCCTCGTTTGATGGTTTTCCCAAGAATGCCTCGTTAGAAAGGTCAATTGTTTCTGATAAGACATTTTATAGAGGAGCAATGGAAGTCACTTCCAATGTCCACGGTTTGAAGATTGATACAACAGATATGAGTACTCTCCCTGCTTCAAAAAGTGAGCGAAGGGTTCACACTCCTGTTTCCAGGGTTGTTGGTTTTGAATCAGGTAGAACAAGTTCTTTAGCTGATGGATTTACCGATGTTCCGTCTGGAAATATACATTCTTCTTTTGCTAGTATCTCAGCCAATGACACAGAATCTGCTACTTCATTGGTTAGGAAGCGACTTTTATCTCCGCTGAGCAGTATGCTCTCCCCAAGTCATTTCAAAGGCGATTCTCTTGATATAGGACGCAGAAATATTGAGCCTTTTTCCCTTGTTAAGAGTGATAATATCAGAATGTCCATTGCACAAGATAATAAGAAGGCGAATATTGGATGTAAAAGCAGTTATACATTGCCTTTTTGGCCCGTGACAAGTTGCTTGGAGCAGAAGACCATGGCACAGAGTGGAGAATCCGTTTTTCAAACTGATGGTCCTTTGCTGGACTATAGAGGCTTGAGAATACAGGGTAGTTTACCAACTCTTAGAAGTGAACACTTAAGAGAATCAAGTATTGTGGCCAGACCTCAAAACGGCGTGATATCTGTATCACCTGTGAGCTCTCCGCTTTCAATGTCACCTCTTGGTCCTAGATTTTCTGAAAGAATGAAAATGGCCGAGAGATGCAGGAGGAGTGTTACTGAAGAGATAAAGGATTGCAATATAGCTTTAAGGAGTACAGATGAATCACTAGACAATTCTAATTCACGCTTTATGTCAAATCGTAAAGATGATGGTCTAGAAATTTCTTGCAAATCTTTTGAAGATGTTGAATTCTTGTTCAAAGATTTTTGTCCATCTTCTCTGGATGACATTTCTTACATGAATCCGCCACTTTCTCAAGAATCATCAGCTCCCATCTCTAACATCACAAGGTTTACTAGAAGTTTGAGTGGACCTTCAGTTAGGAGGTCTTTGGTCGGTTCATTTGAAGAGTCCCTTTTGTCTGGCCGGTTCGTATCCGGAAACTATAGCAAGGTTTGTATATACACTAGCAAGTAATTACTTTACTGTTAATGCTCTCGTGCATGATTCTATACTTTGGTTGATTGATAATTTTTACAGAAACTGACGGATGGTTACTTGTTTCTATTCTCTTACATCTGTAGAAAATCGATGGTTTTCTTGCCGTGTTAAGTATTACTGGGGGAAACTTCTCTCCTAAATCACAGAAGCTTCCATTTTCTGTTACTAGTGTCGATGGAGATCGGTATCTATTGTACTATGCATCCATAAATCTTGCGGGAAATTCTTCACCGAACATCTTCAGAGGCCATTTTGTGAAACGGGGGCTTAGAAATGATGATTCACAAATTGTCAAAAGCCGTTTCCGTATACCAATGAAAGGAAGAATTCAGCTGGTATGATATACTTGTTTCAGTTTCACTTTTGGCACCTTGTATCTGAATGTCTTCGATGCCTTAATCTTTCCTTTGATTGTTCTCTGAAAGTCTTCGATGCCTTACTCTTTCCTTTGATTGTTCTCTGCAGGTGCTAAGCAATCCAGAAAAGACTCCACTTCACACTTTCTTTTGCAACTATGATTTGAGTGACATGCCAGCCGGTACCAAAGTAAGATTCAGCGCTCCGAATGAATATTTGACTATATTGACCTGGACATTTTTAATTTAGAATGCCGTTAAACACGTCTAGTTTTAGCTTTGAACTCCCTTCAGACCAGTTTCGTGACAAAGTTTAATTATAAATCAATCCTTAGACCCATCACAAGGTCTTAACATCAGTAAATACTCATATGAAGTGTTGGCGACATGCAAAGCGAAATCATGTTTTAAAAAACAAAGTACTACTTACATAACAGAACATAATAAGAGGTTCAGGGGTTATGAAAATGCCTATCACTGTTTTGCTGCCACGTTTTGGAACCAGTTTCTGTAGACTCTGAACTTTGCTGCAATGACATAATTATTTCCACCTTTCTTTTCTTCTCGTAGCTCTGCAGATTTTGGCCACCATTGCTCCATAACCTGTCTTAGATCCTTAGATCAGTTCGTTGCACTATTGATTCCTCCTTCCAATAGTCTTCTGTAGATTTTCCGCATCAGCTCTTGAACGAGATCCCTGACACAGTTTGGCATTGGTTGTTTCAAATATTGTTTGGCCTTCTTTGTCCCAATGTAGTTTGGCCTTGGCTTTCTCAATCAAATGTAGTTCAGCCTATGTTTTTGACTTAGATACGACTTGGTCTCGACTCTTGTCCCATTTGCAATCTGTATATGACGACTCGATTCTTGTCCCATTTATCTCCTTTTTCGTTTTTTAACTTGCATTATATATGAATGTTTTGAAATTATATGCTCTTGTTATGCTTCAAAATCATATTGCATTTACTTGGTTGTATATCAGTTTCTGATTTTTTTTTTCAAATTATAAATGAGCAGACATTCTTGCGCCAGAAAATCACTCTCGAGTCCTCCAGCACAACTTCCCCTCAGTCGAAGAATGGTTCAACCGGGTTGGACAGTGGAAATGACAAGGGGATTCCACTAGTGCAAAAGAATCACGGCATCTCGTGTAATGAGGAAGTAATGCAGACTGATGCTGTTGATGTTGTTGTAAATAAAACGAAATCTACAGATCAGAGAAACACAAAGGGTTCTTCTAGCTTGGGAAGTTTACTAAACAAAGAGGATTCTTCGAAAATATTGAAAGTCCCTTCCTCAGTAAAGCTTGACCATGGAAGTTTAACCGAGGAATGTGAAAGGAATGAAAGAAAGGAATCTTGGGAGAAAACATGCGATGAATCAGGGAAGCCATCAAAGAATTCTAGTAGTGCTGGCCCGCTACGTTATGCTCTCCACCTCCGCTTTATCTGCCCTTTTCCTAAGAAGACAAGTAGGTCAGGTCAAAAATGTAGATACAATTCTCTTTCAGAAAAAGTCGGATCAGACACAGAAGGCGAACGAAGATTCTACCTGTGTAATGATTTAAAGGTTGTGTTCCCTCAGCGTCATTCAGACGCCGACGAGGGAAAGGTATGTATATAAGCAGTATGGTTTATCTCTGCATGTGAATAATTTAGTGTGCATTTTTCGATCTTCCTATAGCGAGTGTCTCACAATGTTTGTTGTGGTCTATTTGACAGATGAATGTGGAATACCATTTTCCTGAAGATCCGAGGTACTTCGACCTCAACTGA